TCAATCAACACTCGCTACCGAGTCTAAAGAAATGCTTGGATCTGCACACAAGGTGCAGGGAGTAACGTGAATAAGCAAACTCAGTAAGTAACCAAAGTAAATAAAGGCTGAGCAGTAGTGACGAGCAATAAACACATGTAAAGTTCATATCATGAAATCTCAGTAAAAATACAACAGGCTTTAAAAGTAGAGTTTGAATCGAATCATTTCGTTTAAACTCAGTTCCAGTAAAATCATTTGAAGATATTTTTCAACAGTTCTCAAACAGAGGCTCAATGCAACAGTGAGTAAAATGATGGAATCATAAACAGCCCCTCGGGCAAAACATCACTCATATACAGCCCCTCGGGCAAACCTCACAGTCACTCGTATACAGCCCCTCGGGCATACCTCACCATCACTCACATACAGCCCCTCGGGCATACCTCACCATCACTCACATACAGCCCCTCGGGCAAAACATCACTCAGTAGGTACCTGCGCTCGCTGGGGTGTGCAAACACCGGATGGGCTCCTTCAGCCCAAGCGCTATAACAAGCCACCTCGTGGCATAAATCAATCAGGCCCTCAGCCTCACTCAATCATGAATTAGTAAAATATGTTGCGGCGTGCAGTCCGATCCAATAAATATCCTCACAAATCAGGCCCTCGGCCTCAGTCAACCATGAATCAGTAAAATATGTTGCGGCGTGCAGCCCGATCCCATAAATATCCTCACAAATCCGGCCCTCGGCCTCACTTAGTCATAAACCTCTCGAGGCACTCGGGCTCTCAATAAAAACAGGGTACTCAGCCCAAAACAACATTTATATGCATCAAAACAACGTAATAAAGACCGAGTTATGAAATCAGTAAGTATAACATGACTGAGTATAGATTTTCAATCAAACACAGTGAGAGGATAGTAAGAAAAAGGCCCCTAAGGGTCCAAACAGCTCTGGCACAAGGCCCAAACATGGCATTCAAGCCAATTCACAGAAACTATTTTTAAACACATAAGTATCATATAGTTTCAACCAAATACGCAACTTATAGTTGCTACGGGATGGATCAAGTCACAATATCTAATGGTGCACGTCCACACGCCCGTCACCTAGCACGTGCGTCACCCTAAAATAGTATTCGGGGTTTCATACCCTCAGGACTAGATTTCCAATCGTTACTTACCTCAAACAAGCCAATTCCAATACCGAGCAAGCCAAGCGATGCTCCAAAAATGTTATCTCGCGCGTTCCGACCTCCGAACGGCTCGAAACTAACCAAACACAACTCAAATATATCAAACAATGCTAAAGCAACCAATCCCAATCGAAAAAGGTCGAATCTTTAATCAAAAGCCCAAAATCGGCTAAAAAGCCCAAGCCGGGCCCACATCTCAAAACCCGACAAAACTCATAAAATCCGACAACCCATTCAATTATGAGTCCAACCATACTAGTTTCATCAAACTCCGACTCCGAATCGATGTTCAAAACTTAAAAATTCACTTTATGAAACTTTAGGCAAAAACCCCCAAATTTCACTTTGAAATCATCAATCAAATGCCAAAAACGAAGATGGATTCATGAAATATAACCAAAACCGAGTAGAGAACACTTACCCCCATTACATATGGTGAAAATCGCCTCCAAATCGCCCAAATCCGAGCTCCCCAACTCAAAATATGACCAAATGAACAAACCCTTATTTTATATATTTTTCTGCCAGCTATTCTGCCTCGCTTCCCATGCCAAACGATCACAAAACTCGCCTTTGATGCCTCCAATGGATTCCTTGTAAAATTTTAGTCAACTTAGGTTCTTGAATCACTCCATTTGACCTCATATTGAAGGAGATATGTTGGTTTCAATATTCGAAAATAGTGCAGATTTTTAAATACGAATTCAGCGGCAATTTCGTAATTAATCTGAAAAATCTGGCAACCCAATTCTTTGTAAAATGACCATAAAATCCTCATACGATGTCCAAATTCGAAAATTTTTTTTTGTTATGGCTCCGTGATTACGATACGGATCTAATGCTTCAATAAGAACAGAAATTGGAGCTCATTTGCTTAATGTAGTACCATTTATGCTTGTAAAACTACGTCGAAACATCAAAAACGAGCGCAATACAACCCAAACCTATCCGAAACTCACCCGAGCCCCTCGGGACCCTATTCGAACTTACCAACAAGTCCCATATCATAACACGAACCTACTTGAGGCCTCAAAACACACATAACAACATCGAAACGACGAATCACACCTCAATTCGAAATCAATGAACTTGAAACTTCAAACTTCCACAACCGATGTCGAAACCTATCAAATCACGTCCAATTGAACTCAAATTTTGCACACGTCACATTTGACATTTTGGACCTGCTTCAACTTCTGGAATCGGAATCGGAATCCGACCCTGATATCAAAAAGTTCACTCCCGGTCAAACTTTCAAAATTCCAACTTTTGCTATTTCAAGCCAAATTCTACTATGGACCTCCAAAGCACAATCCGGACGCGCTCCTAAGTCCAAAATCACCTAATGGAGCTAACGGAACCATCAAATCCGATCCGAGGTCAAATTCTAAAAAGTCAAACCTTGGTCAAACCTTTAAAATTTAAGGCTTCTAACTGAGAATCATTCTTCCAAATCAATTCCGAATAACCTGAAAACCAAAACCGACGATTCACATAAGTCATAATACTTCATACGGAGCTACTCATGCCCTCAAACAACCGAGCGAAGTGCAATTGCTCAAAACGACCGGTCGGGTCGTTACAAATTAATTGTATGATTGAAATTGAACTATCGACTCAGGAAATGGAGGATATTTTTTTAGCTATTTAGCTAACACGAGTACACTTTCGGGCCAAAAAAAACGAAATTGATACCAAAGTGCCTCCTATTTTTTCCTTCCTATACAATATTTAATTTTGTATATTACCCTAAACAAGGATTACTTACAAATTATATATATTCCACCTTAAAAGGCTCCCAATCCATTATTAGTGCCTTAAATTAGGGGATTCTTTGCTTGAAAAAAGGCATAACTGAGGGAACAATGGTGTTAACCACCTTTTCCTTCCCTAATCAACTATATTTTTTTTAAAAAGAAAAGAATAGAAAAGAAAGCAAACAGACAGGAGAGTAGCAATACTTCTAAGCAAATGTCACCCTAATTGTTCTTTTTTTTTTAAATCTTTTTTTGCAGACAAGCATATTTTCTGAATTTTGAAAACAAAAGAAGAAAGAAAACTACTTCAGCTAGTGCAATGATCATGTAGCAATGTTAAAATGCATATAAGTGAAGCTGAAATCATTTGAATAATTTCTCTAATGATTTTGACGAAAATCCCATCTCATTAGAATATAGTTTGATATCTTCTGTCATTTATCCATAAATAAAATACAGACATCATATTATGCTTCTCATAAGAAAAAAATTGATGGCAAACAGGAGAACGATAAAAAAGCCAGAAAATGAGGATCCTCTTAATTTACCAACAAAAGAAATCAACTGACATCTATAAGCTGGGGCAAAAGTAGGCACAATGTTAATAAGAAAAAGAAAGAAAAAGGAAACTAAAACACAACATATTCAGTGGAGACTTCTTTCATGACAACACAAGCCCAATTTACAAAAACCAATGCCTTTAACCAACACATTCAATTTCAAGAAAAGAATAATACATGGTACAACATCATACAAATTAAAAATAAATTTCACACAAATTTTATACAAAATTTGATATATCTACAACAACATACCTAATAAAATAAATTTCATACAACTAATTATACAATATTCAACTTATCTATAACTTTCATACATCTTCCTTACCCGGTTAAATACAACTACAATATTATACAACTTAAATACAATTTTCATACAAATTTTATACTATATGTCTTTTGTACATTATATATATATTTTATATATAATTTGTATATATTTTGTATGTGATGTGTGCCTCTTCCTCTCTAAAATTCCAATCAAAACTTACTATCTTAATACAATTTTTATACATATCAACAACTTTATGTAAAAAAGATAGTATTGATAACTTAAATACAAATTTTATACAACGATTCATATATTATACAACTATTTTTCAACTTTCATACAACATTCAAATAATAAAAAATCTATAACTACAACAGAATACAATTTACATATAATTATACTACAACTTTGCTACATTTTTGTAAGTATATGGTATGTTATGTCTTCTTCTTCTTCTTCTTCTTCTTCTTCTTCTTCTTCTTCTTCTTCTTCTTCTTCTTCTTCTTCTTCTTCTTCTTCTTCGAGTTTCAATATGAAATTCAGCCAAAATCAAGTCTAATCTTCACCAAACACCCTCAAAATTGAGATATAAACTCCAAATAATATTCTCAATTGTTTGCAACAACACCAAATCCAAACAAATAATGGTATTTGAAAACCCAAATTCGAATTCAAAGTTTTAAAGTTTTTTAATAGCTGTCAATGGTGGAGAGTCAAACATCTTCAAAATTTATTGATTGATAATTTTAATTTGAACACCAATTGTGCAACATGAAAGGAAACTGCTAAGTTAAAACTCTATAGTAAAACGATTGAAATTCATTGATGAATTTCATTAAAAATATATACAACATGAAAGGATAAAAAATAGAGAACATCAGTGGAAGAAAAATTGGGGAAAGAACAGAGAATGAGAGATTGAGAGATAGAGAGATGAAGAGAGAGAGAGAGAGATGGAGAGAGAATAAGGATGAGAAATAATTGATTCCTTATTCAATTTCTAATATAAAGGGATACTTATTTAATTCCTAAAATGTATATAATTGATAAATTATATATGCTTATATAATCAAAATTGAAACTTGAGTAGAGAAGATAATAAAGTTTCAAATAATGTATAGGAAGATAAAAATGTCATTCAAATAGTTGAGGCAAAATTGGTCACTTTCCTAAGAAAAAAGGAGTGGGTGTCGAGTGAATAATATCAAATCCAAGGGGCCAAAATAAACATTACGAATTTCTTCAAACCCAGGGTTTTTCTCCGCCATTTTCCCCTTTGCAGCTCTTGGTGTGTTCTACAATGGCGGAAACAATCAGCAGAGCTCTCCGTGACGGAGCATTCGAAGGAGAACACGCTCCCGCTCTTAGTATAAAGGATACTATCCACACGCCTCTCGGTTCCTTCGTCTTCAACCATATTCTCACGCAACTCACTTCCAACATTCTCGCCGGTAAATCACAGTCTCGGTCAGTTCAGCTCTTCACGCGATTTATTACTTAATATTTATCACACTAATAAGAATATCATGTTTTAATTTATGTTATAATTTGATAAATTCGTTGACTGATGGTTCATACAGAGGTGTTGTGCTGGTTGCTTTAACTCGGCCTCCGTCGTTCTATGCTGAACTGTTGAAAAATAAAGGTTTCGACATTTCCTTATCAAGTAAATGGTTAGAATCATCCTTCTTTTAGTGAATCAAGTTTATTTATTATGAAATAAAATACGTGTTTTTTTGCTAATGTACTGAATTTTGCTCAGGCTAAGAGTTTTAGATTGCTATTCGGATCCTCTTGGATGGAAAAACAAGTTGATGGAGAGAGGAACTGTAAGAAATCCGTACGAAGAGACCTTACTTAAAACTAGTTTATGTAAAAACTTGAAAGAATTGGACAAGGTTTTGTCTTCGATTGTTGAACTTGGAAAAGGTAAGGCTTTGAGAATTTTTGTTAATGTAAAAATTATGTTGTGTTTTGATGAATTCAGACTGATCTTATTTTTTGTAATTGGCAGAAATTGTTGAAGAGGGAAAAGGGAGATTTGCAGTTGCAATAGACTCGGTAATGCTACTTAATGTCAGTTTTGGTTTAGTGAGCTAAGAGTGGATGCTGCTTGTGTGTCAACTCTCAAGTGACTTCGTCATTGATTAGGAACAGTTGGTTTGGTTTTCATATCTGCATACTGTAGTTTGTTGCGAAGATGTGTAGTGATCACTAGATATTGAGCACCCAATAAGTAGTTTGTCCTTTTTGTTGAAGGAAATTTCTTTATAGAAGAAGTCGTGTAGAAAACTTGGTCCTACATTCACAGAGAAGGTTCTCTTCTCTTATTACTGCGAAATAGGAATCCTGACATAAGCGAAAAGCACTTATGCCTTCAGTCATGCGGTTCGACGGATGAAAATTTGTTTTATACATTCTCTAAAGTTGAAATATCAATCGCATAGAAAGCATGGCAATCAGCGGACTTAATGTACTATTGCACCTTCTATTTTGTCAATATGTTATTGGTCCTGCTATCTATGACAGTTAGAACTGTGTGCTTGTTTGATGAGGAAACTTCCTAGATTTTTCTTAGTTTAGTTTTTCTGCATTGCTTTCCAGATATAAGACATGATAGTTCTTTTGTCCCTTAGTGAATGGCTGAATGCACACATTCAGTATTCATGTACTTTTACATGAGGAAACTTCTCTGTTTCTTATTTTAACAACTTTAACTAAATCAGAGCTATCATTTTGTTTTACTACAACCAGCAGTACCTATCCTGGCATTAGTGGCTATACACAGATAGTTCTTGTTGTCTCTCATCAACTGATCCACTCTAGTTTTTTTGCATGGAGTGATGCTTAGCAAATTGTGGATATAATAAGTTGGGGTTCGATGATTTGTCAAATTATGGAAAATGTATCTGATTGCCTCGTCTGGTTGACCACAATGGGAAATCTTCTGCATACGCAGTCGAGGCATCAGTTGCTTTTGTCAAATTTCTTGAGTAATAAGGACCTCGATTAGGTTAAGAGAATTCTTGTTTTACCTTGATTTAACTATCAAAAGATGGAACTTAAATAAGATATGGTTCCTAAATAGTTCCATAACCTTGAACTCTTTCTACTGAAAAGAACTGTTTCAGTTGAATGGTCGAGACATTTTATAATGAGTTTGTGCAGAAACTGATTCTTCAGAAATAGAAAATGTGTATATGAAAGCATTTATATCTCACTGAAACATGGTGTTCTATTAGATTTCTCACTTCTTTTAAGTTTATTTATTTGTCTTCGTCAAATAAAAGGTGAAGCATAATTTATCTGGTGAACCATAACATCACTAGCTCTGTGAAACTGAACTCTGTTTAGAATGCAATGGTCCATCGCATGTGCACCTGCTTTTGGAAATTCACTGCACCACAGTAATTCATTTACTTGGGCATGATAAAGTCTCTGATATACCGTCCTTGACTTTGCTTATCTAACTTCTCAAAAAAGAGCTGAATTTCATATTCATCTTAGATCAGTTTAATTCGAAATTCTAATGCAAAGTTTTTCCGCCACTAATAGGTAAAATTGAAATAAGAGTATTTAACAAAATAAAATAAGAAAAACTGACCGCTTAAATGCGTACTTTAGTATTAACTCCAAAATGAATCACTTTAAATAAGCTACAGCTTTGGTTGATTGCTTATGATAGCAGTGAATCAACTATTTAAATGTTTTATCATTACAAATAGATACTAAGGCTCGTACAGTTTGAAGGCTATGATGATAAATTTTAAGTGAACTACTTAAGTTTCAGTTTTTGAAAGCGACCAACTGTATTCCGCACTACGATTTAGTCATGCGTAGCTTTTAATACTCAGAAATCCATTGATATTAGTTTGAACATTTGCATATTAGTGGTCATTTCGATACAACAAATCTCTCCCTTCTCGTCCTTCTTCCATTTATCTTAATACCATCATATTAACTTTCGAATTCCTTTTCCAGGTAAGTGAGATCTTGAGACATTCATCTCTACCTTCTGTTGCAAGAATCTTAAGTCATCTTCGCAGTCACGGTAGGCACAATTATTTTCAGGCCATCATGTGTTGTAGCTTAGTAATGAAAATATGTGGTGAAAATGTTATGACAGCTGGCTATGAAATCAAGTTTTGCTGTTGGTTTCCATCTTTATCAATTCACCGCCACATTATATGTTAACATAGACAACTAGATATTCCTGCCTGCCAGAAACTCATGATGTCTGCATCTCCCAGATTTAGGCACCAAAATTTTCCTTATGCTAGATATATGCTGTATTCAGTTTATCGTGGTATGCTTTAGGAGATGTCATGCTGCCTTCATAACTTCTTTCTGAGATGTGGTGGCCTTGCTATCTATAGCAAATTGTAATTTGTTCTTATAACTGCTGCTTTGTCTGGATGTATCTTATTCTGGAAACATTTGATCCACTATTTTTGTTTGCCTGGCATAAACATGATGTAACACATGGAGGAAGTCGAAAAAAGAAGTCCACAAGCTTTGTTAATGCCGTCAAACAGAGCCCAAATGGAATATGAATGCCAGGTGCATTAGCCATTGAACCAAACATATTGGCATTGCTCTGTATTGCGAGTTGTATAGCTAAAACATTACTTGGTATTAATACAGTGTCCAGTATCCTCTCTGGAGAAGACACATTGGCAGAAGAAGCTTCTTTGTCATTTGCCTAAGAACTCTTTTTTCTGCTAAGGTGCATCTAATGTAGTGGGTTCATTTATATAGCTGATCTTTGAGGTAGGCTTAAGGTCCTCATCAGTTCAATTCATTAATCTATTCTTGGAGTCTCTTAGCTATTACTGTGTGCACTAAGAAATCAGAAAATCAATATCGTACAAAGGCTAATCATTTTATTGATTATTAGCTTGAAACTTTTTTATATGGATAAGGATGGACATTCTTCAAAGGTAAGATTTCAAAACTATCAATTTGTAACCTTGTTCTCCTATTTGGAATGTATTTGGCAACTTTTTTTTATCACCTGATATGTGGAAATGCTTTTCTTGGCTGAAAAATTCCATTCAGCAAATTCCTAAAACATAAAGGAGGGAGAAATTGAGAATGGAAGAATTTGTCAAAGAATTTCTTTTGTGTAATTTGTTGCAACCAAATTTGCTTTCACTGGTTTGCATCGCAAGGAGTTGCTTAAACTAATTTATTTTTCTTGCAGACCAGGTCTCATGCATATTTTGCTTGTTGCATGTGGACCTTCATGAGGCCAAGGTGGCTGCCACTCTTGAATATTTATCCACTATGCATGCGGATGTGGAACCAATAGTTCAAAGAACAAACGGACAGAGAAGCGCCTCAGAGGACCTCCCGATGGTGGAACAATGCTTTAAAAGAGGGAAATTTCATGTACGCTTTAAACGCAGAAATGGACGTGTCAGAGTGATGGTAAAGGAAAAGCTATTGTTCCCTTGCAAATTAAGATAGCACGAGCACTTTATTTATCTTATACTGGTAATGATCTATTCTTAGAGGGAAGAGCTTTATGTTGAGGGATCAAGCATCAAATTTAAAGAAATTTCATCTGAAGATGGAATGACTGCTCAAAGTCTTGTTCCAAAGGTGAGTTATTTGGCAGTTCAAACCTAGTAGTAGTTTCTTCCCATTTCCTTGAATGGTGCAGCATACAGTTACAGTGAGCTCCTTTCGAGATACATCCACGTGTTAGGAGGAGTTAGAAGTCAGATCATTCTACATCTATGTTAATGAATAACTTTTGTGATAGGTTCAATTCAATTTAGAGCTGTCAGAGAAGGAGAGACTAGACCGGGCGAAAGTCGTACTCCCATTTGAGCACCAAGGTATGGGTGGACCTCTAGTTTAGGTTGTTACCACAGATTCAGTCCTTTTCTGTGAAGATAAAATGGAAACTCAGCCTATAAACCTACTTTTTTCATTCCTTTCGGCTTGTTTATCTTTTAATTTGGAAGTAAATATTGTTGTTTTGCCTCTCTCAGGAACTGGTAGACCCATTCAAATCTATGATGGTCGCAAATCGCTTAATGAAAGCGAAATTGAGCAGCAACAAGCATCAGTTGAGAAACCACAAACAACTGAGGATTCTGGCAGGGGTGAAATAATATATTTTCGGGATTCAGATGATGAGATGCCAGATTCAGATGAGGACCCCGACGATGATTTGGACATATGATAATGCATATTACCACTTGTAAACATCAGGACACCAGATTTATAGGATGAAGCTTCTAACGACCAACTTACAATCTAAATTATGTCAAAAGGTCAGGCTGCCATTACCAAATCCATGCCCAAATCTTTTGCTGGTAGGATACATGTACAATGGAACATCCTTGACCTTACTAGAATTGTAGGTTGACTGGCATGCCTGGTAAGTAGTCGGTTTAGTTGGTACGCTGCAAGTAATTTAAGCGCAGGTTATCACCAAGTAGTGTTTACCGTGTTTGCATGTTGCCTTTGACTACTCGTAGGTATAAGGGGTTGGATTTTACTGAACCGGTTAACCAGTTGGGATTAGTACAGGGTAATTTTGCTCATATCTGTGATTGTGCAACAGTGTTGCAACTTTTACTAAACGTAGTAGTTTAGTTTGCTACATGTGTTATCTGAAGTTTGGCTGTGTGCATTCAACTGTCCCAATTGCTTGCTCTCTTTGCATATTAGTGATCTATTGGTCCAGTATAGGGGAGCTAAATAAAAAGTTGATTGATTCGATTTCTTAAAACAGACTTGAGATTCTGAGACAAATTCTATACGTTGTAACTTTGTAAATCAAAATGATAGAACGGATATGATTAAGAATCTCAGTTATCACTTCGTTCAACTCTTCGGAAATGAAATGGAACAATCCTTTTGGAAGAATGGAAGGATTTCTAAATAGAACAAGAAGTTCCTTGATATATCTAATGCAGAATGAGAGTGCATAATTTTAGTCCCTTATTGACCAACTTGTAATATAAACCTTGGAATGGTAAAACGAGAAACTTATCATAACTTGGAGGAATTTGCAGGTAGCGCTTGAAAGGATCAACGCCAAGACAGAAAGGAAGGAAAAATGATAATTCAGGCAAGAGCTAATTACTCCCCGTAGCAAGACAATATTATCATCAAATGACAAGAGTTAAATTCATGTATGGTCACTGAAATTTACCCGCTTTAACAGTGGAGTAACAGAACTATTTTTGACTCATTAAATAAGTAATTGAATTATGTGTGAATTGCTCAAAAATAAAACACAGGAGCTGCAAGTCCTGTTCAGGCATCAAAAATCCACTTTAAACTGCAAAACTGATCTATAGTAAAACCAAAATTGATAGGCTCTAAACAATTTCTATTTCCCCAGTCCAGGCTAGGAACCAGCTGAACTAGAAGATGGTATTTGATTTTGCTATACAAAAGTAAGTCATAACTGTACTAATCCCATCTAAGAAGGATAAAACAAATGCGGCCAGGATTATGATAAGAGTGCACCCCTGGACAAAACTGAACGTCACATCTAAGGTTGATGAATACTATACAACAGCCATTTAAAGAATAAAAAGAATGATGAGACGACAAGTTTGCTCTGCCATATTATAAGGACCTTAACCCATCAGAAGGAACCTAAAAAGGTGAAAAGAATCAGATTCAGAGGTAAACCATAACTAGAAGCTTTATGATGCACATAAATCTAGCCCCTTCAGTCCAAAAGAAGTATATAGAACAATGCAAGTCCCAGAGAACCTAAATGAGCAAATCAAGCTTTCTCATAGCATTAATTAAGACCATGTAAAATGTGATAAACAGTCGTCAAACAGACTGATAAAACCGTAGAGATCAAAAAGAGGAAGTTTACAACCAGGAAGGTACCTCAAGATAAAAGGACAAGTCCAAGGTACATAGCTCCACAAAGAAAAACAAATGAGATCATTCCCCTGCAAAATCTCAACAAAGAGCAAATGATGTATGACCGCAAAATGTGAGAAAAATCAGATCCTGTTTTAATGCTATGACTAACCAGAGAACTCCCCAAAAAATACCAGCACAACAGCACGGACAAAGTTCAGCAAATTTCTCAGCATCACTTGTGTTCACTCTTCGAGATATTAAATCATCATAGATATCTGCAATGTCATATTTGTTAGACCATGTCATATTTGTTAGACCGTGTCACATTGCGAATGCAGAATTTTATTATTCCACAAAGAGAAAGGATAGTTTGTACCATATACTGAAAACAAGCTGTTCATAACACCTGCAGTAAATGAGAGAACCCATATAAGCAACACAACAGAATTGTGAGAGAGAGAAAGGAAGAAGAGAAGCACATACCTATGAAGAGAATTACGTAACGAAGCATACGTACTTCCGTTTGTATTTGCAGAGCCCAAATTCCACCAATGAAAATGATAAATCCTGGAAAATCCAGTTTGTTCAGATCAATGACTAAACATAAAAAGCAGTTGTAAATCAAGTACTAAAACTTATCAGGATAGTGAATGTACAAACCAATGCAAAGTCCTCGAAGTGTCCACTGTTCAAGAAAGTAAAGCAAGTTAGATTACACAAGTAAAAAGTACAGCTTGAGATATAATAAGTTTAAGGACTTGATTATCTGCTATCATTGTACAACACATAAATGCAAGTTTTTCTTACTTAGTTTCATACATTTTTTGCAAGGAAGAACACGATAAGCAAAGCGGCAATAAAACAACCAGCAGCTATCATTGCTGTGAGAACATATGTCGACGCAAGTATGAGAACCATTCCCCAAAAAGACGAACCCAGATCTTTAGGCAAAAAAAAAAAAAAGGAGCACAACAATAGTCAGTGAAAGAAAGGTTGTCAGCACTGAAATAGACAAAGCAAACTATAGTAGATGAGCTAAAACTATGGTAGATGAGCTAACTTGAAATGCATATGAATTTGGAACTTAAGCGGACACTTCATTTGTCTTTTAGGAAATGAAAGCTTAAAGTTGTATTGAAAATTGTTTCAAGGAAGAGAAATTACATCCAGCAGGCAAGATAAGCCAAGAAACACCTCCACGGGTCTGTGTCACTCCCCCCTCATTGGCATGAACTTCTATGCCCACCACCTGTACTAGTAAACCAGAAAAAGTGTGGTTCAGAATATAAAGACTAAGAACTTATTATAATATGTTGTATTGATCTGGGAACCATCCATCATATGTTGTTAGTTTTCCTCTTCCTCTATCCTTTCTGTTTCTAGCTTTCATTTTCTATAGGTAAGGGCCAGTGCCAGCCATTCCACTATTTGTACATTGTCAGTTTTCCTCTTCCTCTATCATTTCTATTTCTAAATGTCCTTTTTAAAGTTAAGGGATGCAAGCTATTCTTTGGATATGTCGAGATAGCCAAGCCAGCTTAAGCATTTCTCTGAACTCAGCTTCAATAGTCACTACTAAACCATTTCTTAAGTTCCTCACATCTTGTTAATCTTTTCTTGTTCTGCAACTAAGCCATCACGGTGTTTGTCGTGTATTTAATATGCTAATTCTTGGAAAAATAAAAGAAAGGAAGGAAATAATAGAAGTTCGATAAGGTTTTATAGCTAATTCATTGATACAGTGTATAAAGACGATTCCTTTGTCCCAACAAAGTTCTATTTTTCCTTCATAGATTATCCCACTAGTGCACCTTTCTAAAGATGAAGCTTCTAGGGGTATTATACAGGTTATATACTATAGAGAAATATTAGTTCTGTCTCATTTTAATATTGATCCTACCATAATATTTTCCTCTAAACTTATCATTTTGAAATAGTAAATCTTGTAAAGTATATAGGACTTCTTGAGAAATTCTGGAACTCGAAAATCTATGCAAGATTAACACTCAAAGGGCTTCTCAAGATAAGAAGTTGTTAAGTCCATGCATGAATTTAAGTATCAAGTAGCCATGCTCAAAACATAAGGGAATAATAGAAAAATTTGAAATTCATCTACGACTACAATGTTGGAATATCTAGTCTAGGTTCAACTTGATCTGCAGAACAGTCAAAGTGAAAATTAACATGTGATGTAAATTGAGTCTTCAGAGTTTCTGAAATAACTGATATCTTAAATTTCTCTGTCTAAACATCAAAGAGCAAGCAATTAACCAAAATGCTAGTAAATTGCACAACATATATATACATTGAAGTGAAGCTGAAAACTATCACTTATTATTAGAATGGAATTGGATTGATATCCGAGTAGAGGAGAGAGATTATTACCTCACCACATGTGAGCTTACAAGCAATTGCATGGCTTAGTTCATGAAGAAACACAGTGATGAGCTTGAAAGGTGTTATAATAAATGTTCTCCATAGCTGTTATTCAATTATTAAAAGGAACAAGCAAAAATGAGTACAAAAGGAAGAATCAGTCAATTATTGAATAGTCAAAATTCAAATAGAAAGCAATATTATTTTCCATGATAATAATTACGTACATACTTAAGATATAAAAGGAGAAGTAGATAGAGAGAGAAGGTTACGATAAAAATGAAGACGGTATAAACACCAATGGTGACAAGGAAGATGACTTGATCGTGGTTACAACAATCCTTAATCTCCCAGTTCGCCTTCATTTTCAGCTGTAATTACCTGATATATATCCAACACAATCCTTCAATTTTCAATCGATCCTCGATTGCAGGGGTCGAGGTTTTCTTCTTTTAATTTTTCTTGTATATTTTTCAAAGAATTGAAGAGGCTAAGTTTAATTGGTTAGAGTTTGTGCATTGTACGTAACGCTTTTAACAATGAGAGAGACGCCAGAAGGAGGCGGCGTTTGCTGGTGGAGCTCCTCCCACTGGCCGGCCGATGACTCTACGTAGTCGTTGATTTTTCCGAATTTCTGCCTTTACACCGGCAGAATTTTGTTGTTATTTTTTCCAGTCACATTGTTGACGATACGGTTTGTTATTTTGTTTTTCTGGTGGCAACAAGAGAATCAACCTTCCGTTTTTGCCGCCTTTATTTCTTGCTCCACTCTAATCCAACACTCCTCTCCACCTATGGGAAGTCCATATTTTTCTTTTTTCTTTTTTAAATCTTTTTCCTTTTTGTTCAATTGAAATAGAGACATTGTATTATTATTACCATTCTCAATCTATCTATCTATCCATCTATCTATCTATCTATCTCTATATTTATCTATCTATATCAATATTAGAAATGAGACTTAGCGATTGAAATTGAAGTAGATGACAAGTCTGGCTCCGAGCGCAGTATCTCCGAGGACAAAATAATAATAATGAAGCAAATAAAGTTGTTTAATTGAGAGCGAAAGTAAAATATAGCATATGTTTCTCCAAGAATTTCATGTGTTACAAAGGGTGTTGAGCCTGTTATTTATAGTTATACCTAAGGAAACAAGATCCTAGGATCAAGCTTCACTTTAAATAATAATAAAGGAGTCATTGATGAGTACGTAACGCAGGTCATGTAACGGTTGCTCATCTAATGTTAGAGAATATTCTCTCATTGAATGCTATCCGATGACAAATACTCAATCTGTTCCCGTTGATCATGCTCCCTTTGAGATTTACTCGATATCAATTGCAGCTATCGTATTCGGTACTCGTTGTTACTTGACTCGCCTTTTACCTGTCTTTGCATTGGTCGGAAACTTAAGTTAGCATTAGAATTCCATGCAAATTTATGTTAAAAATATATTCTCAATGTTTTTTATTCAACAGTTATTTAGTGTTTCGTATAAATATTTTAGTTTTTGAAGGGCATAAAAGTCGATCAATATTTCATGTATATTTTTGTCGTTCGACATTTTGCATAAAACATTTGTGCTTTTAGAATAACTAGTCTATATGTACGTGCTTTGCACGTATATATCTCACTATGATTAAGATAAGTTGAAAAAAAATTTCTTCCTATAACTTTCATATAAAGATGTTTTTCGCGTAAAAATAAAAATTCCGACCTGCTATTTGTTTGTTAGTATTAATTTTAAAACTTTTATTTCAGTAAGAAGTCTACCAATAAACAAATTAGATTTATCATTTAAGTTTCTCATCGAATTCTAATTTCAAACAATAAGATAGCGTAAGAGAGTAGTAGATATTAATTATTTTGGATAGTAAGTGCAACTAATGGTAGAAAGTTGAGATTTAGCCGAACACATATAAATTTTCAAGAGCCTCAAGAGTGGATATATATATATATATATATATATATATATATATATATATATATATATATATATATATATATATACACCCTGTCTCCATAAATTAAAATTTTAAAAATCACATTAATATTTTATTAAAAAGTTATTTGAGGTATATGATAGAAGTTAATTGAAAAAAAAACTCCTAAAATAATTATTGTTGAACATATTTAGATAACTCTGATAATAGTAAGAACTCCATCTCATAAGAGGTCCTCAATCATCTTAGTTCACTAATTGTTTTTAAATTTTGAATACATATCCTTGAGATTTATGAGTTTATTCTCGAATTTTCTTTGGAAAGAATAATAATTCTTAAATTTCATTCCTAGAAGAACACAAACCCGATTAACAACTAATAAAGACCAAATATTTTTGTTTTCCTCGTAAAATTGTACTACTTTTTATCAATAAAAAAAATACTCTAGTAAATTATCTTTTCAAAAGAATATAAAAAATGAACCACTATCACAAAAGTTTGAATATATTGATTATATTTATTAATCTACTCTTCTATGTTTTGAAGATCGAACTTTCTTTCTCTGTTCAATCATATAATCATGTATCTCGGATGATATCGAATCCTGTTCTTTTATGCTTACAATGATTTTTTAAGTAGTTGATTCTGAAAGGACTACATTAATAATATTCTAAAAAATAGCGAAGAAACAAAATTCAATCAAAATTAGAAGAAAAGATATTTCTACAAACTGAAATAAAACATCTAATGTAAACATTGAGTGAAAAAATAGAAATACTCGCAAGCCTAAAACTCTTCAAAAGATACATAACGTTCCTTGTAGCTTGCAGCACTAGATATCACTTCATAAGTTCTTGCCTCTTGCCCCTTATTTTTTTTTTTTTTAATATTCTGAATCTTTAAAATCTTTTTCACAATTTTTAATTTATCCACCAAAAAAACTGTAATAAAAAACGGTAGAAGACGAATATATATATGGTGAATATGAAGTAGACTAGGTTGTTTTACGTACATGCCAAGTTTCAACGATATTAAAGAATGACTTTTACGTATAACGGTCATAGTCAAAACATTGAAATAATAGATTTAGAACAAGTAAAAAGGACATTTATATTTGTTTGGATCTTTACCGTAATTATTAGAATATCATCTTCCTCCTTGTAACTCTAGCTGCTTTCTAGTACAATAAAAATATTTATCGTACGACAATGTCTAAAAATCAATATGAAATTCATTAATAAAAATATAGGGAAAAGTAAACTTAAATTCATAAGATATTTAATTGAAATGAGTTGCAAAGCCTAACTAATTTTCTGTTACGAACTACATTAATGATAAACAACTTGAACAAAATGTAAATTAGTCAATTTAAAAATGATAATTGGTTATTAGATAATTGTAAACAATAATCACGACATGAAAATATTTAATATTGCTATATATCATCAAGAATAATGAATGTTTAGTATTACGTAACTTCAAAAATAAACTAAAGGTTATAAAATTTACCTCAAAGCACAAGTAAGTTTACCTTCACAGACATCGACACTATCAAGATTCTTTAATGAAATATTGAGCTCCCTCTTTATACTAATGGTTTTGGTTTAAAAGTTTAAAAATCAACGCAAGTAAAATTATAATCAGTAAATTAATCCTAAACCTAAAGTGATATTAATGGCTCAATTTTGCAGTTTTAGTAAAAGGAATCTAAAGATAAGGGAATCGTAAACCTAAACAAAGAAAAAATACGTATACATCAAAAAATATTCAGATACAATGTCAATTCAACAACAACAATAAAAGTTATGCCTAAATCCTAAATTTTTTAGTTTTTTCACCAAAAAGAATTAGTCGATGCAAACCGAAAAAAGAAAAGGAACTAAACCTAAATAAAGGAAATTCGGATTCCAAAAAAGGGCAATTTTTTGGTTTTCCTCCACAAAAAGAAAATAATAGTGAATCCTAAAACTAAACAAAGAAAAGACATGAGAATTTTTTATTTTTTTCAAACAAAGAAAAATTAGTGAATCGTATAACTAAACAAAACAAAAGAATACCTAAACAAAGTAAGACGTAGCATTAATTAGCGACCTTAAATGGACAGCAAATCTAAATTTTATAATGAAATCCAAAACCTAAATAGGAATAAGTTGTACTCAATAGAAAAAGGTAACAAACGGCAGTTTTTGGTTTTCTTTTCCAGAAAAATAATTAGTATTTAAAATTACAATTTTATCCACCATAAAATACACTTAAGAAGGGTAAAAAAGTCGGCCAACATTTCGAATAGGGGCTTCGTGCTTTTAATATAGTATATATATATATATATATATATATATATATATATATATATATATATATATATATATATATATATATATATATAATTATATAATTTTTCACACATTAGGCTGATAGTAGCGTAAGAGAGTAGTAAATCTAAGAGCACATTCGCTATTGAATTATCTTGTTTTAGATAATTCAATCCTTTATTGAGTATTTTGAAGCATACATAGTTCTTAAGGTAATAAATTAAGGGAAAAGGTCCAAAATTGCCCCTCTACTATTGTTTATTGTTTACTTGTGCCACCCATTATACTTTTCGTCCATTCTCGTCCCTACCGTTAATGAAGTTTTAAAAATTACCCCTAACCCTAACGTTTTGACATTGTAGCAGCTGACCCCATCAATTTTATCCATGTCAGCTGCCATGTCATCGACCAAATTAAAACCCCACAAGACCCATTACATTCCCGTCTCCCACCCGTGACTCGTTTTCCCACTAAATAAATAAGTTAGACCCGTCTAAATTGACAAAGAGGGTCATTTGGTCTGCATACGTTCGATAGAAACGAGAGAAAAGAGTGTGGAAGGTTCAAAAGAAAATTCTCTATTTTCAGTGTTTAATGTTGTCTAGGGTAAGATTTTCCCCCAAAATCTGAACTTTTCTGCTAGTTTCATATGCTTGTTGTTTATAAATGAAGCATTTTTGTCTTAGTGTTCACATTTCTTTTCTGGTTAAGTTAGGGTTTTTAGATTATTCTTCGTGGTTTAGGGATTTCACTGTTCTGTGCTCAGATATGTGATTTGTCGTTTAGGGTTTTACTTTGTCTGTGATTTTGTCGTTGTTTGTGTTTGCATGTGACTTTCAACTTTATACCCTAATTATTTGTCTATTTCTGTTGGTCGGTTAGGGTATATTGGTGGAATTTATGATATTTGATACTTTGTTTGAGAAGAACTTTCTCTTATTTAGGATTTCAAGTATGTGTGGTCCCTTTTGTTTTTTAAAGAAGGGTCGCATATGGTTGGTTTTTTAATTGAAAAAGGATTTGAAGTATTTGTTAATAGCTGACTTGTTGTTATTTGGTCCCTTGTTTCACCTGCATTTACTTTGAAGGTGATGCTCATGTGGGTCTTTTACAGATATGTTTTGTGCTTATTTTATTGAGGTAGGACTCTAAGTTTGATACTTTACTATGTGGTCCCCCACATGCATGCTTGTGTCCGTTTCTTTATCATAGTACCTCATTCAATTTTGTTTCTTTGTTCATCTATATCTGTACCTTTTCCTTATTCCCTTTATTAACCCCCCCCCCCCCCCCCTTTTTGTTTATTCAAGCTTCCCTTACATGTTTATTTATTATTTCTGTACCTCTTGTCTTTGTTACTTCTTTATGCATTTACTATGGTAGGCTGTAATAATTTTATTCATGATTACTATGCAGCCTTTTATAGATGGTGCTAGTTGAGTTAGTTTTTCATC